CCTTGATGTCTTATGTAGGGAGACAAAAAGGAATGCCAGTCTTCTCCCCCTACTCATTACCTCTAAATAAATGCAAGTAGACAACTACTTGTATTCTTTGATTCAGAAAGTGTCAGATAATCACTATATTTTAAAAGGCTTCCTATCCGGGAGTGCCTACTGTGAGAATTTTTCTTCAAAAAAGAAATGAAAGAATGAAATGCCACTGAAATTTAAACTAGGCTCTGTAATTAAGTACTTTACATCTGCACAAAACAATTTTCAAGCATTCAAGTGCTAACAGAAAGCTTCTCCAAAAATATGAACAGACAAGAAAATCAGACCCAACGTTCATAACTGATATAACAAGAAAAATTTTTATTGTGGAACTTTAAAGGCAAATGATTAAAAAAAGAAAAAAACATCATGCAGATTAAAAAGCAAGGTTGGGTGGCTAATTGCAAGTGATCATATAAACCTCACACAAGCACACTAGTTATCAAGTAAGCTTAGAGATGGAAAGTTGGCCTATATCTGATCAAACTACCTTGTATTTTGAGAAAAGCACTGTTATAGATAAGCATATACAAGCTTGGATTAAAAAAACAAACAAACTTCTATTTATTATGTTTTGCAACTCTGATCTTTTAAAACAGTGGCCTTAGGAAAATCTGCTTTGGCAAGCAACTGCAGAGGCTCCTGTGGAGAGGAAGTGAAAAGACTGGGCTTATGTACAAGGGCTGCTGGCACCTTCAAAGTGCAGGGGATAGTTCACAGCAAAATGTAGTCCTAAGTAAAAGGGTTTCAGGCAATTTCAGTGTTAAGATAACATCATTAAGAGAAGAACAGATTGTGCTCAAACCCTGCTGTTTATAATTAACACGTTGCTTCCAAATACTCCAGGGTCCCTGGTAAATAGTCTTCTGCTCACATCCACCCAGACCAATCAGAGTATTTTCATCAGATTCCATGCTGGGCCAGCACCTGTCTGGACAAATCCAATAGAGCCAAAGAACTCCTCTCCCTGGCCAGCTAAGTAGTTGGATGAACACAGCTTGGCTTAGTCATTGTCATAGTGTCCATATGGCTTTGAAGCTTGTTTTCACAAGAAATCATACAAGTATTTTATTATGTCAAAGTTCACCGTCCTATAAATAAAAACAGATAATACGTTAGCATCCTCACCCCCCAGACTGCTCAGCTTTGTATGTATGATTCTGGGAAGCACATGCAAAATAACTCAACTGATGCTAAACAATCCTATAGTGCTATCAAAAGCACCATGGTAGGATCAACATTAATTTTTCAAAATGTCACTGGGAAAAGAATTGCTTTAGTTTCTCTT